CTAGGGTAGCATGTCTCAGAATCCAAGGGCTGCATGTCTCACAATCCTAGGGTAGCATGACTCACAATCCTAGGGTAGTATGACTCACAATCCTAGGGTAGCATGACACAATCCAAGGGTAGCATGACTCACAATCCTAGGGCAGCATGACTCACAATCCTAGGGTAGCGGGACTCACAATTATAGGGTAGCATGACTCACAATCCTCGGGTAGCATGACTCACAATCCTTGGGCAGCATGACTCACAATCATAGGGTAGCATGACTCACAATTCTAGGGTAGCATGACTCACAATCCTCGGGTAGCATGACTCACAATGCTTGGGCAGCATGACTCACAATCCTAGGGTAGCATGACTCACAATCCAAGGGTTGCATGACTCACAATCCTAGGGCAGCATGACTCACAATCCTAGGGTAGCATGCCTCACAATACTAGGGTAGCATGACTCACAATCATAGGGTAGCAAGTCTCACAATCCTAGGGTAGCATGACTCCCAATCTTAGGGTAACATGACTCACAATCCTAGGGTAGCATGTCTCACAATCCTAGGGTAGCATGACTCACAATCCTAGGGTAGCATGACTCACAATCCTAGGGTAGCATGACTCACAATCATAGGGTAGCATGACTCACAATCCTAGGGTAGCATGACTCACAATCCTAGGGCAGCATGACTCACAATCCTAGGGTAGCATGCCTCATAATACTAGGGTAGCATGACTCACAATCATCGAGTAGCAAGTCTCACAATCCTAGGGTAGCATGTCTCACAATCCTAGGGTAGCATGACTCACAATCCTAGGGTAGCATGACTCAGAATCCTAGGGTAGCATGTCTCACAATCCTAGGGTAGCATGACTCACAATCCTAGGGTAGCATGACTCACAATCCTAGGGTAGCATGACTCACCATCATAGGGTAGCATGACTCACAATCATAGGGCTGCATGACTCACAATCTTAGGGTAGCATGACTCACAGTCCTTGGGATGCATGACTCACAATCCTAGGGTAGCAGGACTCACAATCATAGGGTAGCATGTCTCACAATCCAAGGGTAGCATGACTCACAAGCCTAGGGTAGCATGACTCACAATCCTAGGGTAGCATGACTCACAATCCAAGGGTAGCATGACTCAAAATCCTAGGGCAGCATGACTCACTATCCTAGGGTAGCATGACTCACAATCATAGGGTAGCATGACTCACAATTCTAGGGTAGCATGACTCACAATCCTCGGGTAGCATGACTCACAATCCTTGGGCAGCATGACTCACAATCCTAGGGTAGCATGACTCACAATCCAAGGGTAGCATGACTCACAATCCTAGGGCAGCATGACTCACAATCCTAGGGTAGCATGCCTCACAATACTACGGTAGCATGACTCACAATCATAGCGTAGCAAGACTCAGAATATTAGGGAAGCATGTCGCACAATCCTAGGGTAGCATGACTCACAATCCTAGGGTAGCATGACTCACAATCCTAGGGTAGCATGACTCACCATCATAGGGTAGCATGACTCACAATTCTAGGGTAGCATGACTCACAATCATAGGGTAGCATGACTCACAATCATAGGGTAGCATGACTCACAATCATAGGGCTGCATGAGTCACAATCTTAGGGTAGCATGACTCACAATCCTAGGGCTGCATGACTCACAATCCTAGGGTAGCATGACTCACAATTCTAGGGTAGCAGGACTCACAATCATAGGGTAGCATGTCTCACAATCCAAGGGTAGCATGACTCACAAGCCTAGGGTAGCATGACTCACAATCATAGGGCTGCATGACTCACAATCTTAGGGTAGCATGACTCACAATCCTTGGGCTGCATGACTCACAATCCTAGGGTAGCATGACTCACAATCCTAGGGTAGCAGGACTCACAATCATAGGGTAGCATGTCTCACAATCCAAGGGTAGCATGACTCACAAGCCTAGGGTAGCATGACTCACAATCCTAGGGTAGCATGACTCACAATCCCAGGGCAGCATGACTCACAATCCTAGGGTAGCATGACTCACAATAATTGGGTAGCATGACTCACAATTCTAGGGTAGCATGACTCACAATCCTCGGGTAGCATGACTCACAATCCTTGAGCAGCATGACTCACAATCCTAGGGTAGCATGACTCACAATCCTAGGGTAGCATGACTCACAATTATAGGGTAGCATGACTCACAATCATAGGGCTGCATGACTCACAATCTTAGGGTAGCATGACTCACAATCCTTGGGCTGCATGACTCACAATCCTAGGGTAGCATGACTCACAATCCTAGGGTAGCAGGACTCACAATCATAGGGTAGCATGTCTCACAATCCAAGGGTAGCATGACTCACAAGCCTAGGGTAGCATGACTCACAATCCTAGGGTAGCATGACTCACAATCCCAGGGCAGCATGACTCACAATCCTAGGGTAGCATGACTCACAATAATTGGGTAGCATGACTCACAATTCTAGGGTAGCATGACTCACAGTCCTTGGGCAGCATGACTCACAATCATAGGGTAGCATGACTCACAATTCTAGGGTAGCATGACTCACAATTCTCGGGTAGCATGACTCACAATGCTTGGGCAGCATGACTCACAATCCTAGGGTAGCATGACTCACAATCCAAGGGTTGCATGACTCACAATCCTAGGGCAGCATGACTCACAATCCTAGGGTAGCATGCCTCACAATACTTGGGTAGCATGACTCACAATGATAGGGTAGCAAGTCTCACAATCCTAGGGTAGCATGACTCACAATCATAGGGTAGCATGACTCACAATCCTAGGGTAGCATGACTCACAATCCTAGGGCAGCATGACTCACAATCTTAGGGTAACAAGCCTCATAATACTAGGGTAGCATGACTCACAATCATCGAGTAGCAAGTCTCACAATCCTAGGGTAGCATGTCTCACAATCCTAGGGTAGCATGTCTCACAATCCTAGGGTAGCATGACTCAGAATCCTAGGGTAGCATGTCTCACAATCCTAGGGTAGCATGACTCACAATCCTAGGGTAGCATGACTCACAATCCTAGGGTAGCATGACTCACAATTCTAGGGTAGCATGACTCACAATCATAGGGCTGCATGACTCACAATCTTAGGGTAGCATGCCTCACAATACTTGGGTAGCATGACTCACAATCATAGGGTAGCAAGTCTCACATTCCTAGGGTAGCATGCCTCACATTCCTAGGGTAGCATGACTCCCAATCCTAGGGTAACATGAATCACAATCGTAGGGTAGCATGTCTCACAATCCTAGGGTAGCATGACTCACAATCCTAGGGTAGCATGACTCACAATCCTAGAGTAGCATGACTCACAATCCTAGGGTAGCATGACTCACCATCATAGGGTAGCATGACTCACAATTCTAGGGTAGCATGACTCACAATCATAGGGTAGCATGACTCATGGTCCTAGGGTAGCATGACTCACAACCATAGGGTAGCATGTCTCACAATCCTAGGGCAGCATGACTCACAATCCTAGGGTAGCATGACTCAAAATCCTAGGGAAGCATGGCTCACAATCCTAGGGTAGCATGATTTACAATGCGAGGGTAGCGTGAATCACAATCATATGGTAGCATGACTCACAATCATAGGGTAGCATGATTCACATTCACAGGGAAGCATGTCTCACAAACCTAGGGCAGCATGAATCACTATCGTATGGTAGCATGAATCACAATCATAGCGTAGAATGACTCACAATCCTATGGTAGCATGTCTCACAATCCTTGGATAGCATGAATAAATAATCCTAGGGTAGCTTGACTCACAATCATAGGGTAGCATGTCTCATAATCCTTGGCGGCATGACTCACAATCCTAGGCTAGCACGACTCACAATCCTACGGTAGCATGACTCACAGTCCGAGGGTACCATGTCTCACAATCCTAGGGTATCATGACTCATCATCACAGGGTAGCATGTCTCACACTCCTAGGGTAGCATGACTCACAATCATAGGGTAGCATGTCTCACAATTCCAGGGCAGCATGACTCACAATCCTAGGGTAGTATGAATCACAATCATAGCGTAGAATTACTCACAATCCTGGGGTAGTATCACTAACAATCATAAGGTAGCATGACTATTAATCCTAGGGTAGCATGACTTACAATCCTAGGATAGCATGACTCACAATTATAACTTAGCATGACTCACAATCCTAGGGTAGTATGAGTCACAATCATAGGTTAGAATGACTCACAATCTTTGGGTAGCTTGAGTCACAATCATAGGGTAGCATGACTAACAATCATAGGGTAGCGTGACTCACAATCCGAGGGTAGCATGACTCAAAATCCTAGGGTAGCATGACTCACAACCATAGGGTAGCATGAATCACAACCATAGGGTAGCATGAATCATAATCATAGGGTAGCATGACTCACAATCCAAGGGTAGCATGACTCACAATCCTAGCGTAGCATATGTATTAGGATTAAGGAGGGAGCCTAGGTGACCTTACGAGCTAGAAGTACTCAAAATATACTTCCGAAACTTCAGACAGAAAAGTCGTCTCCACAAGAAACGTCGTCGACGAAAATCTAGCCGTTGGACTGTCATGAAGCTTGAATATATTGTAGCTCTTAATCTCAGCTACGGTTCCCTATTCGAATAACCTTGTTGGATGGAGTATTCAAGACGGAATGACTTTTGACCCACTGGGGGGTATGCTGTATGAGAAGAACTTTATCTCAATCTCAAACTGTAATCAAGGTTCAACGATCTAACAAGGAATTAGAGGAGCAAGGGAAAGGTTGGGAATGGAAGAGAGGGATGAGAGGGAAGGTCCCAAGAGAGTCTCCAACCAAGGAATCCCCAACTTTGACATTTGTTCCTTCTCAACCAATCCATCCAAGTTGGCTTCCCTTGCCAACCTAGCTTGGTTGTTCCCAACCAATTTGCAACTGCTACAGTAGAGTGACGAATTTCCCCAACCTCTAATGGTCCCAACTCCATATAGATTCACCCCACAACTTCACTTTGTAACCGCCGCAATTGTAACGCAAGCTCATGAACTTTGAATCTTCATAGCTTTCGCGTTCTTGCTCCGATTGAAGAGATTCTCGTTGCGTCGGAAAGATCTTCTCAAGATCTATCATAAAAAATACTTGCTCAAACAAAAGAAAACAAAACACATTCCCAAACTCCAGAACACACAACACATAAATGCTTGCACACATTCAAACCACACATGCAAGTGGAAAACATGGGATGGGAGGCAGACAGAATGTGATAGCATATGATGACATCACACAACATTCTCCCCCTCTGGTTGCCAACCATCATCCATCATGCCACATCTCAAGCATGCATACTTAATACACACTCATCCCAACAAGCTTCATGCCCTTCCAATAATCCGCCTCCGCCAAACGCTTGGTGGAAATATCTGCTGCCTGCTGATGGGTCTTCACTATCTCCAGCTGCACCTCCTTATCAAGGATTCTCCTCACCCAGTGCCACTTAGGCCTTATGTATTTTGTCAGCCCATGCAGACAAGCATTCTTGGCCAGCTGCACTGCAGACACATTGTCACAACACACAACTATCGGCTCCTCCTGACCAACTCCCAACTCCTCCAACAAGCGCCTCAGCCACACCACTTCCTTGGCCCCATGGTGTAAGGCCATGTACTCAGTCTCACATGAGGACAATCCCACCTCATTCTGCTTCTTGCTGCGCCAGCTCACAGCACCACCTTGCAGTAAGCACACATAACCCCAAGCACAACGCAATCCGCGTTCACTAAGTTGAAGCTAGCATCAATACCTTGGGCTGAGGAATTGTCGCCGAATAGCACAATGCAATCTCATCCTCCTCAATCTGCTCAATTACACTCCCAGTTTGCACCACATTCGGCTTGCCTCTTCCCCCATAGGTTAGCCTCACTGGAGAGCGCACATCCCTCCTAGGTCGCTCAGGCGGCTGCGGAACTCGAGTTGGGGACTCATGCTGCTGCTGCTGCTGCTCCACCTCAACTGCTCCCCCTTCCTCAGTCTCCCCAGACATCTCCTCCTCAGTCTGCTGCATCCTCCACCTGTCTTGAAGGCCACTGCACCTCATCTGCCTCCACAATTAGCGGTGTAGATGGAAGCTTCTAAAGCTGCTGCTTCCATTCCTTCTAGTACATGGACTCAAGAAACTTCACATCCCTTGACACTGTCAACTTCTGGGTGGTCAATTCCCATAGCAGCCACCCTTTGTGATCCTTTGGAATCTTCAAGTGCACACCCCATCTTCCAGAAGCCTCCAACTTCCCCTTTTTCTCCTTAGGCACATGAAAGATCACCATGCACCCAAATCTATCAGCATGTTCACACCAGGAGCACTCCCATACCACTTGGAATATGGGATCCACTCCTTATCCCCAACTGTAGCCAGCATTCTGTTCTTGACAAGGGCGACCTGCCTCAGTGCAGACACCCAAAACGGATCAGGCAGCCCTGCACAGCCAAGGAGAGTGCGTGACCCCTCCTGCAGGGTCCTGTTGAACCTCTCAGCCACGCCATTCTGCTGCCGGTTGTAGGGCATTGTCAGTTGATGCTGGATCCCCTTCCTCTTCAACTTCCCCTCAAAATCAGCTCCAATGAACTCCCCACCATTGTCACTGTGGATCAGCTTCACCTTGTGTCCGCATTCCCTCTGAGCTCTAGGCATCCACTCCTTAAGGACAGCCGCTGCCTCCTCCCCCTTGCTCTTCAAAGAGTAAACCCATACTGCTCGAGTGTGGTTATCCACAATTGTCAAGAAATAGCAATTGCCTGAGAGGGAAGGGGCTCTTGTGGGCCCCACCACATCCATGTGCACAAGTGCAAGTGGGGTCTTGGCTGGTCCTGTAGTGCTGTTGAAGGGGAACTTGGAGAACTTGGTCTCCAAGCATGTAGGGCAGCTTCCAATCTCCTTCACTCCCCCTTTGACCTCCAATCCTTTAAGGCTCCCATCCTTCACCAACTTCTGCAGCATAGGGAAGTTCACATGACATAGCCTCTCATGCCATGTCTCCCAATCGGCCTCACCACTCCTTGATGAAGCCTTAGCCCATGCCGCACTCACATCCACACCAGCAAGCACCTCCCCATGTGTCTGCTGCTGCTGCACTTTCTTGATTGCTTCCAGGACCCCATCAGTTGGTGCAGTTGCATCTCCTCCTGCTGTTGCATTTGCCGCTGCTGCCGTTGCTGCTGTTGGAGTCTTCCCATTCCAAGGGATGATGGGCAGCTGCCAAAGGTCCTTGATGTAGCTGGTCTCCTCTTCCAGACTCCACAACACCTTCTTCCCAAGCTTAGCACGGGAGCTGGTTGGTCCAAAGGTCACTTTGGCCTTGCTCTTCTGCAGTCGCCGCATAGAGAGAAGGTTAGCAGACAAACCTTCAACCAGCAAAACATTCCCAAGCCCCACAAGTTCCCCATTAGCTCCCTTAACCTTGGCATTCCCAACACCAATCACGGGGAGCAAAGCACCTAACGCTGCTGCCACATACTTAATCTTCCATGGGGGTTGTACCTCATCAAGCAAATCTGCCCGTGGGGTCATGTGACTGGTGCAACCTGAATCAATCACCCAGTGCATGAGAGGATACATCACAACCTTTCCCACAGATCCCACATCACCCTCATGCCCATGCACATCCTCAACCATGAAAAACATCCAAGGATAGGCATTACTTTGTGCACCTTCACCTTGTGCACCTGAGCCTTGCACAGCGCCACCTTGTGCGCGTTCACCACTAGGCGGCTTCATGCCTTGAGGTGCCCATCCCTCCGGCTTGCTGAAGCACTTGAACCAAGGATGCCCGACCTTCTTGCAGTACCAGCAGGTGCCCTCCATTTTGGTACTCCCCCTGCCACTCAAGCTCCCATGCCCCTCATTATAGTCACCTCAGCCTCTACCTCTGCCAAAGCTCCTCCCACGGCCTCGGCCTCTCCAACCCCCTCTTCCTTTGCCGCGCCCTGCAGCTCCATACTCCTCAGCAGTCTTAGTGGAAGCACCACCTCCCACATGGCGTCTTCGGAAGTCCTCCTGCAGAATCTGCTGCCTTAGCCACTCAGGTGTCCATTGATCTTGTTAAGAGTTGAGGGTGGGGATGAGGTTGTCCCAAGAGTTGTCCAACACCAAGATGATCTTGATGCACTACTGCAGCTGAGATACACTGCTGCCCGCTGCTGCCATCCTTGCATAGGTATCCTTGATCTTGTCAAGGACCGGCTTCATATCGTCCCTTGGTCGCATGGAGATGGCAGCAAGTTCCTTCTCTAGCACGATCACCATCGGGAGAGAGTTGGGCTGAATCACATCATGTAGTGGTTTCCACGCCCTTGGACCCGAATCATCCGCTTCCACAAGATCCTTGATGTGCTCGAACATCTCCTTGTTGATTGATTGAAGGATGAGGTCGAAAAGCACTGCGCATTTCTCAATCCACCGTTCACGTGCTTCGCCTTCTTCCGGCATCTTCTCCTCCCCAACAGCAATATTCAATATCTTGTAGCATTTGAAGGCACTCCTCATCCACTCGCTCCATTCCTCATAGTTGGAGCCATCCAAAGCTTCAACTTTTGATGGTGGCGGCTCACTTGTTTTCTCAGGTACAGCTCCTCTTCCAGCAACATCTCGTCCTCTCTCATTCATCTTCTCCTTGAGAAATGTCGAATTTCAGCTCCCCTTTGCTGTCCACACTCAGCTCCCTCGATATTTTCACAAGTGTCGGCGTCCACGAAATTTCGGCAGAGTTTCCCCTTACCGGAAGTCACATCCAACCTTTAGAACACCACTTAGGCACACCCACAGGCCATGGTGGGTCTAGAAGGGTCTTCACACTTCTGTAGACTCCTCTCAATTTCCTCAATAGGGCTCTGATACCACTTATTAGGATGAAGGACAGAGTCTAGGTGACCTTAGGAGCTAGAATTACTCAAAATATAAATCCGAATTTCCGGACAGAAAAGTCGTCTCCACAAGAAACGTCGTCGACGAAAATCTAGCCGTTGGACTGTCATGAAGCTTGAATATATTGTAGCTCTTAATATCAGCTACGGTTCCCTATTCGAATAACGTTGTTGGATGGAGCATTCAAGACGCTATGGCTTTTGACGCACTGGGGGGTATGCTGTAGGAGAAGAACTTTAACTCAATCTCAAACTTCAATCAAGGTTCAATTACCTAACAAGGAATTAGAGGAGCAAGGGAAAGGTTGGGATTGGAAGAGAGGCATGAGAGGGAAGGTCCCAAGAGAGTCTCCAACCAAGGAAACCCCATAAGCACAAAGATTCCCTCCCTATAGGAACCCCAACTTTGACATTTGTCCCTTCTTAACCAATCCATCCAAGTTGGCCACCCTTGCCAACCTAGCTTGGTTGTTCCCAACCAATTTGCAGCTGCTACAGTAGATTGACGGATTTCCCCAACCCCAAATGGTCCCAACTCCATATAGATTCACCCCACAACTTCACTTTGTAACCGCCGCAATTGTAACGCAAGCTCATGAACTTTGAATCTTCATAGCTTTCGCGTTCTTGCTTCGATTGAAGAGATTCTCGTTGTGTCGGAAAGATCTTCTCAAGATCTATCATCACAAATACCTCATCAAACAAAATTACACAAAACATATTTCCAAACTCCAGAACACACAACACATTAATGCTTGCACACCTTCAAACCACACATGCAAGTTGAAAACATGGGATGGGAGGCAAACAGAATGTGAAAGCATATGATGATATCACACAACAATATGAATCACAGTCGTAGGGTAGCATGACTCACAATCAAAGGGTAGCATGACTCACAATTATAGAGTAGCATGAATCACAATCCTAGGGTAACATGACTCACTATCATAGGGTAGCATGACTCACAATCCTAGGGTAGCATGTCTCACAATCCTAGGGTAGCATGAACTACAATCCTAGCGTAGCATGACTCACAATCCTAGGGTTGCATGACTCACAATCATAGGGTAGCATGACTCACAATCCTAGGGTAGTATGACACAATCATAAGGTAGCATGACTCACGGTCCTAGGCTAGCATGACTCACAATCAAAGGGTAGCATGTCTCACAATCCTAGGGCAGCATGACTCACAATCCTAGGGTAGCTTGGCTCACAATCCAAAGGTAGCATGAGTCACAATCCTAGGGCAGCATGACTCACAATCATAGCCTAGCATAACTCACAATCATAGCGTAATGTAGCATGACTCACAATCCTAAGGTAGCATGACTCACATTCATAGGGTAGCATGTCTTGCAATCTTAGGGCAGCATAAATCACTATCCTACAATAGTATGACTCACAATCATAAGGTAGCATGACTAACAATCCTAGGGTAGCATGACTGACAATCATTGGATACCATCACTCAAAATCCCAGGGTAGCATGATTCACAATCCTTGGGTAGCATGACTCACAACCCAATGGTAGCATGACTCACGATCATAGGGTAGCATGACTCGCAATCATCGGGTAGCATGTCTCCCAATCCTAGTGTACCATGACTTACAATCATAGGCCAGCATGACTCAAAGCCATAGGGTAGTGTGAGAGTACGACCCCGTTACACCAATTTCCCCTTTACATATTTCATCTCCATTTCATTTCTCTTTTTATCTCATCTCATTTGGATTCCTATTCTCTATTTTCCATTATCCTTTGGTCTCTTCCCTTATTATAATTATATCACCGACCAGGCATGGAATGTACTAGAGACGTTATCCAGCGTAATCCTGCCGTAATTCCTGAAAGCCAATAGCCTCGCGTGGCTATACGCTGGGTGATTCTATCTTCTAGAAGGGTCTATTTCCTTTGGATAGGATAAACCTGGTTACCTGATGTACTCCGGAAGTATAAAAGCGCCTTGTACTGATCGATAGTGCAATCTTTCCTCGAGACATTGAATCCTGTGACACTTGGTAATCAGAGCTTTTCTCACTCAGCCGCGCTCAACAAAGGAGCAGCAGCGGGAAAACCTGCCTCGAAAAACCGCCAGGGGCGACGAATTCGACGCCGATTCTAGTAAGCACCAGCTCCGCGTTTTGTGAATTCCCCCTCCCGCGCGTGTTTTGAACAGGATGGCAACCTTCGACAACGCCGAGGTTACCCAGCAACTCTTCGCGCGCATCGCAGCACTTCAGGAGGAGCTGCAAGCGGATCGCAAGGCGTGGCGAAACAAGTTCGAGCGTGTAACTCGACTCGCCGGAACGCAGCACGACTCAACAACGGCGACGACGCAGCAGTCGCAGCAGTTTCTCGAGGCTCCGAAGCAGCGCCCACCTGAGCCGTTCGATCCGAGCGATCGAAACTCCGACGCACGCAAATGGATCGTCGGGATGGAGATCTACTTCGCAGCCGTTGGATGGAGCTCGCCAGTCTGGGATGGTCAACGCGTACGACTCGCGGCGACACTCATGCGAGGGCCGGCACTCGACTGGATTGGCGGCAACAGTACCTTCATCCACGGTAAAGATGGGGGAACGGAGGAAATGATGGGGGAAGACTGGTGGGCGCTGGTCATGGGAGACTGGTCATGGGGTGGAGCTGGGCGCCCACCATCTCGCATCCACGGAAGACTGGTCATGGGGTGGAGATTTATCGGCTTGAATCTTTTCAGCAGGTCGGCGCGGAACTGATTCGACGCGAGAAGGAGGAAATGATGGGGGAAAATCTCCACCCCATGACCAGTCTTCACCAGAGGAAATCGTCGAGGAAAAATCAGACTCCGCGAAAAAAGACTCTGCGGAGACGGGGAAACTCCTTGAAGACCCAAAAAATTATAAGGATTCGTTAAAGCTATCCTATAAAGATGCTTTAATGAAACTTATGATTCTCGAGGGGCTAGAGCCTTGGAGAAATTTCGGGAGGGACTCCAAATGAAGCAGAAAGCTGTGGAGATCATACCGGTACCGGACAACTTGGGGAAAAAATTAAGGAGTGTGGAAAGAAGCCGACCTTTCCACGGAGTCAACGTCCTCTCCCGACACCAGCCCACGTCGACTACCCGTTCCCCAGGGAAGACCTCGGTGGAGCTGAAGCAGCTTAAGAGGAAGCTGGGGGTCTACAAGAAGCTGCAAAAACCCCGAACTCCTCCTCTGGATGCATCCAGTTCTTCGGCATCAATGACGCGGAGAGTCGTCAAAGAAACTCCGGGCCCTGTAGAAGAGCCTTTCTCCAAGCAGCCTTGGCCAGCTGCTAGCTCAGGAGCAGATAGCAACGAAAAGGTGTGTACGGAGTATTGGGATGTACCCTATGACCCAATCAATGAAACCATCTTTGGGTACTCCGAGCAACGACTGCCCCTCGTGCTCGAGGTCATCTGCAAAGGACGACGCCTCCAAGCACTCGTGGACAGCAGAGCGACGCACACCGTCTGCGACAAGGTAGTAATCGACCGACTTCGGGAAGAGTACAAGCCTTCGGGATTCTCTGCAACGATGGTGGACGGCAGCAAATTACCAGTGCACGGCGAAGTAGTATTACACCTACAAATTGGACCACTGCGCTGGAGACCTGCACGCCCCATTACTAACATCAAAGGACTTGACTTGATCTTCGGGCGAGACTTCCTGAAAAGATTCAACCCCGAAATCAACTGGGTGAACCGCACCGCAAGCATCTACAACAATGGACGGAAAGTACAGCTACCCAACAGGGACGATACAGGCGATATCCCAGTGGAGACACTCGCAAGATTCGAGAAGGACGTGAAAAGAACCGACACCGGGTTCCTGGCGATAGCAACAGAGGTGGAGAACGACGGAGAGAAGACCTCGGAGCTTCCAGGAAAAATCAAGGAATTGCTGAAGGAGTTCCAAGACATTCTTCCTGGCGATCTACCGAACGAGCTACCGCCATACCGCATGCATCAACACGAGATCGTGGAGGAACCAGGTTCGAAGCCGACCTTCCGAGCACCATATCGGCTCAGTCCTACGGAGCTGACCGACATGAAGAAACAGATCGAGTATCTCCTAGCAGAAGGACTCATCCGACCATCTACTTCACCATACGGTGCCCCAGTACTCTTCACCCCAAAACCGTACGGAAGCCTGCGCATGTGCATCGACTACCGAGCTCTTAACAAGCAGATGATCAAGAACAAGTATCCGATACCCTGGATTGATGAAGACGTTCAGAACTTCGTCACCTCGTGTGATGCATGTCAGCGGATGAAGAGCAGCAAGCAGAAGAAGGCATGACTGCTACAGCCTCTTCCTTTCCCAGAACAACCATGGCAAGGGTTAGCCTGGACTTCATCACAGGGTAACCACCTACCACCAGCGGACATGACGCAATCCTTGTCGTCATCGACACGTTCTCCAAGATGGGACACTTCATGCCGACGCACACGACAGTTCGCACCGAGGAGACAGCACAACTGTTCGTTCGCTACATCATCTCACAGCATGGCATTCCAACAACACTCATCTCCGACCGAGACCCCAAGTTCACCAGCAAGTTCTGGAAAGAACTTATGTCTCTGCTCGGGACCAAACTCGCCATGTCATCCGCCTACCATCCACAGACAGACGACAGAACGAGCGCCTCAACCAGATTGTTGAGCAACTCCTCCGAGCAGCCTGCAAGGACGAAATCTCCAAATGGGACTTGCACCTGCCCGTCTTAGAGTATCCTTACAACAACGCTACACACGCCGCTACTGGACAGACGCCGTTCTTCCTCTGCTACGGACGCCACCCACTCACACCACAGAAGCCGACAACACCACCAACTGTCCAACCCGCACACGACTTCATCCCAACCATGCATCAGCTTTGGGATCGGACCCATAAGCGCCTCCTTGACATTCAGCAGCAACAGAAGCGCCAGGCCGATCGCCATCGCAACGACCACACCATCACCGTGGGAGACCAGGTGCTTCTCGACACACGCAACCTGGACATCAGCCACCTCCCATCTAAACTTCGACCTCGCTTCTGCGGGCCCTTCCTCGTTGAAGCACAGGTCACTTCTGTTACCATCCGCTTACGCCTGCCAGCTACCTGGAAGATTCACAACGCCTTCCATGTCCAACTTCTGAAGCCCTATCGGGATCCGAGCACGATCTTCGTCGGACGCCAACCGCCGCCGCCACCGCCCGTCCTCGTCCAGAATGAACCCGAGTACGAGGTCAAGTCCCTGCTTGCACACCGCCGTCGTCGGAATGGCACCGTGGAGCTTCTCATTCATTGGAAGGGTTCTGATCCTTCTGAGGACAGCTGGGTCTCTGCGAACGACATGGGTAAAGCCCGTCGTCCTCTGCATGACTACCTTGTCAAGCAGGGTGTTACTTCTACCACCCAGCTTTGAGGAGGGGAAGTGTGAGAGTACGACCCCGTTACACCAATTTCCCCTTTCCATATTTCATCTCCATTTCATTTCTCTTTTTATCTCATCTCATTTGGTTTCCTATTCTCCATTTTCCATTATCCTTTGGTCTCTTCCTTTATTATAACTATATCACCGACCAGGCATGGAATGTACTAGAGACGTTATATAGCGTAATCCTGCCGTAATCCCTTAAAGCCAATAGCCTCGCGTGGCTATACGCAGGGTGATTCTATCTTCTAGAAGGGTCTATTTTCTTTGGATAGGATAAACCTGGTTACCTGATGTACTCCGGAAGTATAAAAGCGCCTTGTACCGATCGATAGTGCAATCTTTCCTCGAGACATTTGATCCTGTGACAGGTAGCATGTCTCAAAATCCTAGGGCAGCATGTCTTACAATCCTAGGGTAGCATGGCTCCCAATCCTAGGGTAGCATGACTCACAATTATAGGGTAGCATGTCTCCTAATTCTAGGGTGGCATGACTCACAATCCTAGGGTAGCATGTCTCACAATTCTAGGGAAGCATGAACTACAATCCTAGCATAGCATGACTCACAATCCTAGGGTTGCATGACACAATCATAAGGTAGCATGACTCACGGTCCTAGGAGAGCATGACTCACAATCAAAGGGTAGCATGTCTCACAATCCTAGGGCAGCATGACTCACAATCCTAGGGTAGCCTGGCTCACTGTCCAAAACAAGCATGACTCACAATCCTAGGGCAGCATGACTCACAATCATAGCCTAGCATGACTCACAATCATAGCGTAGCATGACTCAGAATCCTTGGATAGCATGACTCGCAAACCTATGGTAGCATGACTCACTATCATAGCGTAGCATGACTCACAATTCTAGGGTAGTATGACTCACAATCATAGGGTAGCACGACTAACAATCCTAGGGTAGCATGACTCACAATCATTAGATACCATCACTCACAATCCTAGGGTAGCATGACTCACAATCCTTGGGTAGCATGACTCACAACCCAATGGTAGCATGACACATAATCATAGGGTAGCATGACTCGCAATCATCGGGTAACATGTCTCCCAATCCTAGTGTAGCATGACTTACAATCATAGGCCAGCATGACTCACAACCCAAGGATAGCATGACTCACATTCTTAGTGTAGCATGACTCAAAAACCTGGGATAGCATGTCTCACATTCCTAGGGTGGTTTGACTCACAATCATAGGGTAGCATGACTCACGGTCCTAGGGTAGCATGACTCACCGTCCTGGGGTAGCATGACTCAAAATCATAGGGTAGCAAGACTCAAAAATTCTAGGGTAGCATGGCTCACAATCGTACGGTAGCTTGACTCACAATCCTTGGGTAGCATGACTCACAATTGTGGGGTAGCATGACTCACAATCCTAGGGTAGCATGACTTACAATGCTTGGGCTGCATGATTTACACTGGCGGAAAGTATTGCCCGGATAATTGCCTTAAAACATTTCTTGTACTGGTTTGGTGCCTTCTTTATTTAGTTACGAATCAAATTTCGGGGTTGGATGTAAAGTAGTACTGTAGTGTATGTGACGGATGCTGGTTTCAGTTTTATAGGGGTCGATTCTTTACCGAGGACGAGATTTCGTTCGTGTGGGTGCATATGAACAGTTCAAGCCAAGCAGCGTAGTAGATCTATTTCCTAACCTCGGTATTTCTTCTTACTTGCCCTCGCGACTATCGAGTAGTCAGGAGATAGGCTAGGACCGCTGCAACGATTAGGCCATTATGAAACCGTTAGATGAGGCGCTCTACGCATAGATCATTCCCTTGTTGCGGAGGGGGTATAGCAATCGTTGAATCGCTAAACAACTAGGCATAGGGAAGAGTTCGGTCCATCAAGGCCATTGTAGAGTCTAGCCGCGATAACGTGCGTCCTACGATGCCCTCAGCCGGTCGCCCTCGCTTAGTGACATAGAGAGTTCGCCGTGGCATAGTTCGGTCGATTACCAGCGAGGAGGCAAAAATCTCCGCTCACGTGGCGAAAATCGTTGAGAAGCAGCACGGCATCACGTTGCATCCTAAGACATTGCATAACGCTTTGAATGGGAGCGGACTTGTCGCAATCAAGCATCCCAAGAAGCCGCGACACTCTCGGAAAAACATACGCGATAGGCTGGAATGGGCGCGTGCCCACGCAGACTGGACGGTTGACAACTAGAAGCGAGTGATCTATTCGGATGAGACCAAGATCGGTCGTCTTGCATTCAACGGACTCTCATACGCCTGTGTTCACAAAGGGACTGCCCTCCAAAGACACCAAATCAAGCAGACCGTCAAATACGGGGGCGCTTGCTTGATTATTTACGACTGCATGTCGTAAAAGGGAACAAAACATATGGTAGGATGAACGGACTGCTCTCGCTGAGTATACTGCAGGACGATCTCAACAGTACGATTGAGCTTTAGCAGCTTACAACCTCAGAAACTATCTTCCAGCACGACAACGACCCGAAGCACAAGTCGAGTATCGTACAGGAGTAGCTTAGAGAGGAAGATTTTGGGGTGCTAGAGTGGCCGTCTTCCTCACCCGACCTCAACCTAATGGAGCATTTATGGGCTCATCTCAAGAGGCAGCTGGCCAAGCCTTATAAACCTCCCACTGATATGCTGGACCTTTGGAAGCGGGTGCTGGAGGAAAGGGAGAAGATCCCGGCGGATGTGTACACCCACCTGGTGGAAAGCATGCCCAGGAGGGTGAGGGCGGTTATTAAGGCAAAAGGGCGGTGGATTAGGTACTAGTTTGGGGTTGATGTAACTTGCTGCTTGCGCCTGACAATAATTGTCCACATGTACCAAGATTGTAATTTTTGGTATTTGTTGAAAACATCATCATACTTGTATGATGTAAGGCATGGGCGTAGAGCCTTACCCCAACCTACATACACTAGGCACACCATAAGATTAAGGCTTAATGTCAATTCCTCTAAGTCACAAACATGTGGACAGTACTTTCTGTTAGTGTATAATCCTAGGGTAGCATGACTCACAATCACAAAGTAGCATGACTCAAAAGCATAGGGTAGCCTGACTCACAATCATAGGGAAGCATGACTCACAATTCTAGGGTAGCATGGCTCACAATCATTGGGTAGCTTTACTCACAGTCTGAGGGTACGATGTCTCACAATCCTAGGGTAGCATGACTCAGAATCATAGGGTAGCATGTCTCACATTTCTAGGGTTGTATGACTCACAATCATATAGAAGCATGACTCACAAGCCTAGGGTAGCATTTCTCACAAGCCTAGGGTAGCATGGCTCTCAATCCTAGGGTAGAATGACTCTCAATCCTAGGGTAGCATGACTCACAATCCTATGGTAACAAGACTCACAATCATAGGGTAGCATGACTCACAACCATAGGGTAGCATGACTTAAAATCCTAGGGTAGTATGATTCACAATCCTAGGGAGTTGCATGACTCACAATCATAGGGTTGCATTGCTCACAGTCCGAGGCTACCATGTCTCACAATTATAGGGTAGCGTGACTCACAGTCCTAGGGTAGCATGACTCACAATCATAGGAAAGAATGTCTCACAATCCTAGGGCAGAATGACTCACAATCCTAGGGTAGCATGACTCACAATCCTAGGGTAGCATGACTCACAATCATAGCGTAGGATTACTCACAATCCTAGGGTAGTATGACTCACAATCCTAGGGTAGCATGACTCAAAATCATAGAGTAGCATGACTCACAATCATAGGGTAGCATGACTCACAATAGTAGGGTAGCATGACTCACAATCATAGGGTAGCATGACTCACAATCCAAGGGTAGCATGACTCAAAATCCTAGTGTAGCATGACTCAGAATCATAGGGTAGCATGAATCACAGTTGTAGGGTAGCATGACTCACAAACATAGGGTGGCATGACTCACAATCCTAGGGTAGCATGACTCACAATCATTGGGTAGAATGTCCCATAATCCTAGGGTAGCATGGCTCACAATCCTAGGGTAGTATGTCTCACAATCCTAGGGAAGCATAAACTACAATCCAAGCATAGCATGACTCACAATCCTAGGGCATCTAGACTCACAATCATAGGGTAGCATGTCTCGCAATCTTAGGCCAGCATAAATCACTGTCGTAGGGTAGCATTGTTGGTGCAACCCTATGGCTTGCACTCGGCTTGTCGCCCTTGTTTGTGTGTGTGCATGTATGGCATGGAATGAATTGTGAGTCTTTGTCATTGCTATCTAGTGCTTGTGTGTGTGTTTGAATGGTGTATCACAATGTGGCTTGTGTCGGTCAAGACATTTGCGAGTTTTCACAAGTTGTCGTTTGCGTGTCACATGTGTATTTTCTATTTTGTCGAGTGTGACGAGTCCATCGCATCGCAGGTGTGTGCAGCAAGCCCCCATCAACTCAAGAAGAATTTATCTTGCAGAACCAAGACCAAGAGCTCAAGATTTCAAGCCCAAGGGACACGGATAAATATTAAATAGTGAAAAGTAACGCTACTTCGTGTAGTGTTACATTTCACTTGGTGTAGCCCCTTCTTGGGTATGTTTTGGGCCTCCTCATGGTTGGGGACTCTGTGGTGGTGTATCACCAACCTGGACTTTGGAACTTGGGGTATGTAGAGGCTGGGAACCATCTCCATCTCGAATTCTTCTTGCTAAGTTTGTACATCCAAGACTGTAGTGGCTGCTATACCTCCTGCCAGTCAAACTGCCATAGCGTCCTCCAAACATCATGAAATTTCATGATTCAAATTGCTGCTGATAGACGACAATAACGCGCTCGTGATCCAATTTACAGATGACCGTTTAAAGCTCACCTCAGATCGGCATCACTATTTGAAGCTGTCTAACGGAATTCTGACTGTGCACATTTTCTCTCATTTTAAGCACACCTGAGCCTATTGTTGTTATAACAAGCATGACTCAAAATCCTTGGATAGCATGACTCACTATCATAGCATAGCATAACTCACAATTCTAGGGTAGTTTGACTCACAATCAT